GCGAACAGAAACGTTTTTCTAACACCACATTTTATCCCTCATCAAGCCCGCAATTTTACGCACGATTTGAGATTAATTTTGAACACATTAATAGCCTCTCTTTGCTTTCCCAGAGCAACGCGCCGTCATTGGGCCAACTGAGGCTCGCTTGGGGTGGGGCGGGTGGACACCAACGACGCCGCAGTTGTACCCAGTCCCCTTTCTAGAGACCAAAATAAATGAGAATTTTTTTTCTAAGAACCAAAGCGAGGCTCATAACAAAAGTGCAGATATATTTTTTATATATCTGGACTCTGCTGCTCAGAGGCTCCGTAATGGGGAGAACCGAGCCAGCCGGGTGCTCGGAGCCCCGGTGTCTTGCCAAATGAAACAACTGCTGCATGCGATATTTTTTCCATCTGCCGCGGCACTGATTATGGCTGGATCGCGTCCCAATACCGAATCCCAAATGCCACGCTGTTTTTAGGATTTGACGTGTCACGTCCCCTAACGCGGCTTGTTCGTCACTTGACCAAGCCGCCGCTGTTCCACACAGAGGTTTGCGGTAGAGTTGTACCTGAGGTGGAGTTTTGTGTGTATGTCTGTGTGTGTGTGTTAAAGTAGTCAACACCAGTGATGGTCAACACCTGTGACGATTATCTGGACCAGTACTGGGCCTCCCCTAGGTCAACTCTGCCTCAATGAGTACCTGGCACGGTGTGTAAACTTCACCACTTGGAAGACAAAGGCGGCCGGGCGTGGTGCAGGCCACCCACCCCCTCGTGTGCCGTGCCGGCCTTCATAGTTGCTCGCTAACAGCACTTGCCCCAACAGTCTGTTCAGGCTAAACGGGGGATCTTTGTCTTTGTTAAAGGAGTGACTTCCAAAAAGAGGAAACTCATTTACTTTGGCCTCACAAAACCCATACACCCTCGTAGCTGGTTTATTAGCAATGTTACAATTTTTATGGTCTCGGTTCTTGTAATAAATTCCAAGAGCATTACAAGCTTCAGTGCACCGGTCGCAAACACGGCACGTTAGGCGGGTTTATATAAATGACATTTCATTACCTTTAGAGTATTGCATCATGACCGCTTTTGGTTTGCCGCGGTGATGAGATGTTACCTCCATCGTCTGGTATACCGGAGGGCATGGGCTCTATCCCGACCCTGACAGCTGGTATATTTGCAGTTTGCATGCTCACCCCGTGGTCGCGTGGATATTTCTTCAGGTCCTCCGGTTTTTCCCTAAACATTTAGAAACATGCATTTAGAGTATTTGGCTTTTTTTAATTTCCGCATGATAAACCACTTTAGTTGAGCTATCATTTGTGGCCAGATCGCTTCTAAAAAAAACAGCTATATATCGTAGTTCAGTGGACCTTATCTGGTAAAATTTAAATAGTATATAGTTTATCTTCTTGGTCCTTTCGGTAAAGTCACGTGACTTTACCGAAAGAACCAAAAAGATGAATCCTTGCAGTCACGAAAGCTTTAAATCGAAGTATATAGTTTAATTGTTTGGTCCGGTGGAGATACGCAAATGTCTGCAGAGGTGCAAATTGCACTTCTGTCACACCTCCGATAAGCACGGTTGGCTACTTCCTATGCGAAAGAAGTTCAACCTACATACAATACATCATTCGATGATTGCATGTGCTCGTAATCACTGGGTAGGTTTTGACAAAACCTGTTTTGTACACAGCTACTTTTAAACAAAACTGCCAAAACGTGATCCCAAACTCCCCAATGTGTTTCAGGCTTGTATCGTGCGTGTGTATTGTTCGGCCCAATGTCTGACGTTCCAACACGGTGCTTCTGGAACTGAATATTCAGTTGAAGAAGCCACCACCAACAGCACGTGGTGGAGCAAAATATTAGACACCGTGTCGAACAACACGCGGTACAACCCGCAAACGTATCGGAAAAGCTGTACAGAACAACCGATTCCATTCTCTCCCAACACTGGTAGAAACATCTTTAAGATAAGGTTATCCAAACAATGCAGGCCCAGCGCCTGCCTTTGTTTACAAAAGGTCGCATCCCACATGGCCCTGCAGAAGCCATCCCGTTCTTGCACCAAAAGTGGATGCTGCTGCTGCTGCTTCGTAGTTTGTTTTTGATTAAAACGTAGCTGGAGAGTTTGCACCAAGCTGTGTGCCTTCAGTGTAATGAATAACACGTGTGTATGTGTGCGATAATGGGCCTGGCCTCGATTCACCACCCCCCAGACATGGGGCTGTGAGCATTGCATCATATTTTGGCCTCTGTGTGTGTTATTTTATTTGACGGCATTACCGTTTTTCATTTTATGTTTTATTTTTGTTGCAAAGTAATACATCTTTTCGTCAAGAAAAACCATGAACTAGTATGCGAAAACTTTTGTATACACATGTTTTACTTTCTGGATTCTTTATCTGTAATGAAAACTAAGTAACAGAGCTGATTTTAAACATTACAACCAATGTAATCATCTAGACAGGTGTTTGGGTCTTTGTTTTTCAACCAGGCAAATTTAGTACTGCGAAGTCTCACGCCTCGTGTGTGCATTCAAGCCTCGTAATGAACTCCCACACGAGTGCACACCCAGTACACCTCATCCCCATACCCTCTTTACCCCCTTTATTGCATTTACCAGACTGGTGCGGCAAGTCCCATTAGCGAACACCTATTAAGGCCTGATGTTTACACACCGCACCTGCAGATACTCATTTTTAGGCTGAGTCAGCCGAGTGTGTGTGTGGTGGGGGGAAGCTCGGTCATCTCACTCAGTCAACCCATGGCACCTGGGTCTGTCCCCGTGACCTCCTGCCAGCAAGTGCCGTGGTGACGTCACGGCTGTTGTTGTTGTGGGGGAGGCCCAGCACTGGTGCAGACTTCACTCGGCACTAATGTTAGCTGTGCCACGACTCAAACTCAGGTTCGCTGGGTTTTTAGCGCACTGCGCTAACCACTTCATTCACTGCTTCACCGCCCTGCTCACAGTCACGTGGAGACGCACACAACTCCCACGCACTCACTCACACGTGCACATGCCTGCACTGCAATGTGTGTCCCTGCCACCACATTGGCGTACCTTAGAGTTGACAGCCCCGGTACTATATTGTAAACATGCAGCTCCACACACATTCTCAAGTTCCATACATGGCCACGCCTTCACACCCTTCGCTGGACAAAACGATTGCTACTGTGTACGTTTTCACAGTTATTCTGTAGAGCTGCCCAATGTATTTTCATGTTGCTTGACATAATGTCCGACGTTTCGCTCCGCATACCGGGTGGGATCTTCTTCTTTGGGAACTGAACTGAGAAGTTCAAGTTGTGCCCAAGCAATTTGTGGCACAACTTGAAAAATCCCCGCCGGAAAACGATCGCATGTTGTGGTTGATCACTGTCATACTGCTGACTGCAGGTCTCTTTGCTCGGAACTCACCTTTGCGCTGACGTGTTTCTGGAGTCAATCAAGTTAAACCGTTCACGAAAAAAAAACACTTTTCCTTGAAAGAGTTTTAAGTAAAGACAAATGAGCGCAGTGTGGTTTTTTAGTTGCTTGATAAATGTAAAAGGAGTATGCGCTTGAGTGTTGTGTTGGCTAGTGATGGCACGTTGGTGAGATGTTGGTGAGACGTTGGAAGCTTAGTCAATTGGTCTCTTCTCAGTAAAGAGATTTATCAGAGTGTCTGTGGCAGGCTGAGACGGCTTGGGCTTGTCAGAGCACCCGCAATGGGTAACGCTTAGCAACCAAACTGCATGGAAAATTAGCTTCACGTGGCTGTAATTGTGTTGGCCTCGCTTAAAATAATGTGGGATTTATGGAAAATCCACACTGCCTCGTTTTTCCAATCACAGTGCATAAGTATCCCCCGTGTGTTTTATTTGACAGTTTGATTCCTTTTTTAAAAAAAAGTTCCGTCTTATATCGTTTTTTTCCTGTCTTTATGGTGATCACTGTTAATGTTTGTGTATGTATATTTCATAATAATGTTATTAGACGATTTTTCGATCGTTGTTGCAATATGCTTCTTCCCAGCACGTAAAATATTTTTTTCAGTTTCAGCAAAAATTATGGAAGAAACCTCACACGTAGTTCAATAACTTTCCAGCATGACCCACATTCCCCCGAACTCCATCATTCACAAATAATAAAGACATTCCCGTTGGGGGACGGGATGTCTTCTGTGACTGGGATCCACTCATCCATGAAAATTTTAATCATCTTAATTATTTAATCATCATCATCTACTATGGTCAATCCACTGCTGGACGAAGTCCTCCCCAATCCACCACCATCTCTCATCACAGCAAATGTAATCAGTGTTTAAAATTAATTACCGCTGCAACAAAATTAATTACTAGCACAGTGACCTAGTGGCTCACATGCTGCGCTATGATCGTGGAAGCCTGAGTTCGATTCCATCAAGAGGTAGCATTATTGAAGAGTGATATCTAAACTGATCCTGGCCCTCCCCTTCACTAACCTGCATTGACCAGTATGGTAAAGTGTGGGCGAGCAAACTCCATGACCAAATATGTAGTTGGCCGACTTTCATCCAGCAGTGAACTGACAAACGGCTGTAAATGATTATTTTTGATCAATATTAATGCTAATTTGACTTAGTTCATTAATCACGTTTATTTGTCCACAACACAGGACACGCAGATAACATTTTCCACGAAGAGAGACCCTTTGTTTTAAATGCATGGGGGACACGGACCTCACTTCCTCTACGTTAAGGTGACCTCGCCAAGTTTTGCTGAAGTTCACTGACCATGTCACTCCCGGGGTCACGGTTGGATTTCCTAAACCTGGAGGCCGGAGAACGCTTGAAAACGAACGGGCACTGTGTGGGGGTCTCCGCTACTGGTGCTGTCCCACCTATACTAGACCTCCCAGTCGAGCCCCCCAGTAACCTTCCTGTATGTTTGCTATTGTTTGGTTAAAACCTTTTTCTCTTGACGTTTTTCCTCCCGCCTGACCTACTGTCCTATGCCCCCCCCCTCCCCCATCATGCGGTCCACCAGACGTGGTTGCAGCAGTATGGGTACCTTCCGGCGGGCGACCTGCAGATGGCCACGTACCGCTCGGGACAGATGCTGTCGGAGGCCGTGTCCTCCATGCAGGCCTTCTACGGCATCCCAGTCACCGGCACGATGGATGAGCTCACCAGGCAGTAAGGCTTACGCCCATATCAGCACTGTTATCATCACTCTGCTTTTTTATGCTTTACAATTTCATAGTTAAGAAAATAAAAATCACTTTAAAATAAAATTTAAAATCCAGAATAAGTTGTACGTGCATCCTTCATAGTTTTAAATATTAACATGTCACATGGATTTAAATGATTCATAAAAATGGAGATAAAAAAGTGAAAGAATTGAGAAAAAGATGGGAATGAACCTGATTTTGGGAGGAACCTCGCTTGTTTTGTGTGCTGTAACTTGACGCTTTAATTAAAATACTGGAGATCAGCCTTCAAATCCGTGAATTCTGGAGCCCATTGCTACTGTGTGTGAAGTTGGATAGTAGTCTGATAACCATGAACACAACTTTGGAATATTTACATTTTAACTGTTATTAATTGAAAAGCATGAATTGCATTGTGTGGCTCTAATGATGCTTATAGAGGTGCTCTGGCTTTGTATGTCGTTTGATAAAGTGATCATGCACATTCTTTATATTAAGCTTGCAGTGAGAACGATGTGAGTGCAGTTGTAATGTAATCCTGTGTGGACTTTATGACCCCGATGGTGCTATTGGGGCATAAACCAGAATTGTATTTGCCACGTTACTAAGAGGAGATTTCATAATACAGTAACAAAATACCCATTCACACAACACACTGTAAAGATTTCACTCAGCTGCGCAGATCTAGATGGTTGTGTGTAACTCAGATGTAGATGGTTGTGTGTAACTCAGATGTAGATGGTTGTGTGTAACTCAGGTGTAGATGGTTGTGTGTAACTCAGGTGTAGATGGTTGTGTGGAACTCAGGTGTAGATGGTTGTGTGGAACTCAGGTGTAGATGGTTGTGTGTAGCGCAGATGTAGATGGTTGTGTGTAACTCAGGTGTAGATGGTTGTGTGTAACTCAAGTGTAGATGGTTGTGTGTAACTCAGGTGTAGATGGTTGTGTGTAATTCAGGTTTAGATGTTTGTGTGTAACTCAGGTGTAGATGGTTGTGTGGAACTCAGGTGTAGATGGTTGTGTGTAACTCAGGTGTAGATGGTTGTGTGTAACTCAGGTGTAGATGGTTGTGTGTAACTCAGGTGTAGATGGTTGTGTGTAACTCAGGTGTAGATGGTTGTGTGGCACTTGCCAGGGCACCTTGAGGATTGCCAGGAGTTCCTGGGTTTTAGTGAATAGGCACCTCAAAAATATCAGTCCATTGACATTGGTCATTTATTTAATTCGATTATGTCCAATTCGTGTAAATAATATCTTAAATGTAAAAAAACTGTACAAACAAAGCAGAACAAATCAGAAATAACACAAATGAGATAAATATATTTAGTCCTGAATCGAATTACAATCCCACATCTTGGTGACTGTTACTGGTGAGGCGATGTCACATGCCGTAACTCTCATAGAAATTCTGAATACATTTCCAAAACTCTCATTCATTTGGAAATTAATGTTGCATAATTTATTAACGGAAAATATTTACTTATAATTTATGTTCTCTTTTAAGCTTGTATCTTGTCTAGGCTATGCCTAAGTTGACGCTTTGTACAGTCATCATTTATGAGCTGTTTATCTCAGCTCTGTGAGTCAGGTGAGCTCCAGGCCTCAGTGGTCCCATGAGTGATGTGTGTGGGCGTGCCACGACCTCTCTGTGGCCTGACGGATCCCACATTCTCTGCTTGAGGCATTTACTGCCTTTTCACTCATGGGGCACATTCCGTTTGCATTCAAGATTACAATCTTCGTTCCAGTGCTTGTGAAAATGTTTACAAGCGGTTTTTTTTTGCCACCTGCGTTACATTTAATATTGCAACAACAAAAAATGTAAGCCAGGCAGAAAGAATCCCCCTTCTTTGCGCTCAAAATTATGATTCTTACGGCCCAATGGAACACATTTTTTTTAAATACGATCGTGAGTGCCCATTGATCGCACGTTGATCTTTGATCCTGGGCAGACCCTACCGAGGCTATAAGAGTGAACGCTTTACCCCACTGAAAGAATCCTCATTCCCAACCAGTTATTGAAGTGAGAATTCATTTGGGATTTGCTTAACTTAGGCTCCTTTGATAAGCTCTACTTTTCAAAACAAGGCTGTGTTTTTTCCCACTCACTTTTAACTGTCTTTTTCACATCTGTGTTTTGCACCAATAAAAAAGAGACATGCTAAGCCTTTTGAGGCGTATACATATCCCATACTTGTGTTAGTGTGCTGTGTTTGTTGGCTATGGGATTTCACATGCGGTCAATTGAGTTCAGCTGTCGTTAACATTCACAAGATTGATTTCCTCCGAAATTTGCACGTTAACCATATATAACAGAAATAAATAAACAACATTTCCACCAATGTAAAAGAATGGTAACAAGCCTGGCCTCATGTTCCAACGAACACACGCGAGTGAGCACGTGATTCCCAAGGGCTTCCCAGAAGTCAGGTGTCCCCTGACGTAACAGAAGCCGGTGGGCTCGTGCTCTCTCGCAGTCTCCAATGTGCGACGGCTGGCGTAAACGTGGCTCGGGACTGAATAAATCACGTGGGATTGTTTCGCTGCCAGAGCGCGACGCACGGCAAACCCAGACGGCAGTGGCTGTGAGCGGCGGCGAGAAGCCCCTGGGAGCAGTGTGGGGTGAGGCAATGGGCAGCACATGGCGGGGGTGGCAGATGGCCTGGACACGTGCGTTCAATTCACGCTCTCGAGTGTGAGCGCCCTTGCTGCGACGGGGGGGGGGGGGGTTCCGAATGCCGCTGTGCAGTTGTTTTACGAGAAGGCACAATGCTGCACTGCAAAGCGTTGTAAAATGAAAGTAAGCTTTGTAAGAAACTATTGTTTTGGCACGCCACATCACGCGCAGAACAACCGTGTTGGGCGTGCTGTGGTCCAATGCGTCTTTCACTTGCGGGCCGCCTGCCACACGTGGCCAACACAGCATTCTGGGAGGCAGATGATAATAAAAAAATAGAAGATAACTCAACTGTATTTTCGTGATGTAACGTGTCATTGTGTGCCGTACAGATGGATGCAGAAGCCACGGTGCGGAGTACCGGATCGATACGGGACCACCGTAACGGCCGGGTCTCGGCACAAGCGCTATGCCATCAACCACCTCAAGTGGCATCATCAGCACATCACCTACGAGTGAGCAAAGCTATCACCGCACTCACATTAAGCCACTACGTCACAGCTTACCAATAACTCCTGGATGATGGCTTTCTCTTGCCTATCGATCATGGGGGTTGTTTGACCGTGCTCCACCATGCTGGACACACGTGCGTGTTGGTGAAGGAGGTGGCCCAGAGCTGTATTGAGAGATAATTCGCCAGCAATGTTAGCTTTGACCATAAATCTTAATTCTGGTCGCCCCGTTTACAATTCACTACTGCAGCATACATGTGAAATAAAGCATGGGATAGTGAATGCATTACCTCTAAATCAGATTGAGATCATCTTGGGATCTCTCCGAGGTTGCCTCCCACACTCAACAATAAAATCACGCGGAGTTCGGCAACAATCCCAGCAGGAACCTCGAGAAAAAAAACGTCTTGAAGACTTGCCAAGGCTTTCCTGAAAAGCAATAAATGTTTTTGTATTAAACTCGAATCACAGCAAAAGCTTTCTGTTCATCTTTCTAAGCATTTGTTTGATGTCCATTGGCTATGAATAGAACACTGCTAATATGCCAATTAATTTTTCAACTTAAAACTTTCAAAAATTATCATGGCCCTGGAGTATGTATAGTGCGACCCGACAAATGTTAAGTCAATTTATTATATGTATGCTGAACTTCTTTCGCACCGTACGTCGGCAACAGTGCTAATCAAGGGACCTTGGTTGTCATTCAGAAGCCGTCACACCCCACTACCACTGCTGCTCCCTCTTATACACCCCCAACAAATCCCATAGCAGCCAACCTGTGTTTGGGAGAAGGGGTGAGGCCTACAGAAGAAAAGGCAGAGCCAAAATAGGAAGAGGAGGAAGTTTAATCAGGAAGGGGTGGGGCTTAAGGAGTAAGGTGGCGGGGCATACAAATGAAGGAGTTGAGTAATAAGAGGAAGAGCCAGGTGTTAAAGAGGAAATCACCAAGAGGTTTATTTCAGGTAATACACCCGTAGAATAAAATTCATGCAGTAGGCAGCAATACCTTTAGTCCCGCAGATGCGGCCACAGGAAAACTAGTCCATCTCTACGCTCTGTTTGAGTGCCCTAGCTTTGCCCTCTCTGCTTGACGTCCTCGCATTTACTCTCCCGGATTTTTTTTTCCTTCCACAGCATCCAGAACTACACGCCCAAAGTCGGCGAGTACGAGACCCACCAGGCAATCCGGCACGCATTCGACGTGTGGCAGGCGGTGACGCCGCTCACCTTCACACAGGTGTCTGGTCGCGACGGCTCCGGCAACGACGCCGACATTATAATCTTCTTTGCGTCGGGTTACCACGGCGACCGCTCGCCCTTTGACGGCGTGGGCGGGTTCCTGGCGCACGCCTACTTCCCCGGGAAGGGCATCGGAGGGGACACCCACTTCGACGCCGACGAGCCGTGGACGCTGGGGGGGCACGACTACACCGGTGGGTGGAAGTGGTGTTGTGTGTCTGTAGACATCGTTGTTATTATCATCATCATTGTCATCCTCGTCATCATCTGGTGGTGATGTGGACCATCGCTAGCGGGTTTGCTGCTTGTTGCAGAGGTTCACGGTTTGAATGCAGCAGTCACTCTGGTTATTACTGTGGGTTTTTTAACAATAAGAAATATATACATGCCGTCTGCTTCACAGCGAACGTTAAAAGTCACGTGACATCATTCGTAAAAGAAAAAGCCATGTTGTGCAAGTGTCACAGTCAAAGTTTGGCAAATTTGAAAAATGAACTGCAAATTATTCTATTTGGTTTATACTTAACAATCATCACCCCTAATGCAAAAACCTGGCAAGACCCTCCTGAAAAAGAGTCATGAGATTCAGTTAGGCTTTCCTAGGAAACCAAGTGTAATAAAAATCCATGATAACTCTACTGCAGGATGAGGGTTTCTCCACACCACCGAAGTTACAGCGGTTATTTGATCATACTCTACCACGCTGGTAAGTGCAAGGTGATGAAGGTGGAAATCTTGGACATGGAAGCTTAAAAGTACATGAGAATACAGGACGATCTCTTTAACTTGGACTTTAGTGCTTCCAGAGCCTCCTTGAAGGAGCTGAATCTAATGTCGGGAGGTACATGGGGGACACTGCTTGGGGAGTGGCTCCATCTCGGGGCACCATGCTAGGAGGTTATTACGAATATTAACAATTCATCACGATCATCAATCATCATCATCATCATATGTTGGTAGGTGAAGGCGTCACCACGCTCCCACCATCTCTTACAATCCTCCAATGTTACTATCCATCCTGTCCATTAGCGATCTCATTGCTCCTTAACCTTCGTTGTTTTCCTCACCGAATTAACCAGAGAAAATGATTAAATAGCTTTTGGTTTATTTGGAGCACATCAGCATGTGTCATTGGTTCCTGTAAATATGATTCCTGTTGTTTTGGGCTTTCCAGTGTGTCCAGCCTTGGCCCCCAGAACCTCTCAGAATTTGATGAATGGATGAAACTGGGCACCGCACAAAAGATGTTTCATGACAGAAAGGGCTCTCATGCCTCTGGCACTAGCCCACGAATACCACCAGAACCGTCACGCCTGAGTCCAGAACCAACTAAATTCTTGACTATAACTACTTTGAAAAAAACCTCATCACTTGGACCAGAAAACTGCTCTGCTCTTTGGCCTACTTTAACTTAGAAAGCCATCCGTTTATTTTGCTCAGTTAAAAAAACTTACTAAAATGTCATAGTGGTACTGCTGAAGCTCATTTGCATTGAGTGTGGTTGCACTTTAATCTGCGGTATACAATCAAAGTTTGCCATGGGAGCGCAGGCACACTGTTGGTCTCTTAAGTGGCTTTTCATTCACATGTTGACCACATTTGAAGCCTCTGGTGTGATCTAACAGCTAATTCTGTAGTAAACAAACATGAAACCTATAACACATTTAGAAACAGACGCCCTTGCCAATATCTTGAATTAAAAGTACTCCAACAAAAAGGCACGTGTTATACTTACCATCGCTCTGAATTATTTAAAGCAAAAACAAAACACACATATCTTGTGTTGACAGCCTCTTGTCCTTGGCACTCTGTACAGCCAGACTCCAAACCCAGACATGGGGGTCCGACGATGTTCCTTAACAATGATGAGAAAACGCCACTCATTGGAAATTTCCTTGGATGTTCAAAAGTCGTTGCCACCTATGCCAACAGTCCTGGGAGGGCATCGTCAAATAACAGCGGTTGGGGCGCCAGCTGAGAGTGACGACTGGGCAAGTTTTGTTGGCCAATAACGGCATTGTTTCGGCAGCGAGGACCACTGAGTCGGGTTTCCGCTCCGCAGGGCGTCTCACACTTCCTGCGCCGGCCGTTTGCTCCGGGCGATATATCCTGTTGCAAACGCCGTGGCGATGAAATCGGGTGGCACCTTATTTGTTATCGGTGAGCACAGCTTGAAAGCGGGGAGGCCGCTTATTGGGAGCCCAGCTTCCAATGCTTAATCCTGCATTTGAAATGTCTATTTTCTCTATGGAGGGTATGTTCTGTATTTAGGTGCGGTTGTGCACCCTTTAACCTTGTAATCGTTCACCTCTTTCATGTGCCCTGAGTCAGGGCTTAAATTCTCACTTAATATTTACCAGGTCACTGGTTGTCTGGATTTGGTAGCACGTGACTAGTAGCCACAACCATAGAGGGGACTATACAGTACATGGTGTGCTGGGTGCAGAAATATTTTTTTTGACAGTCTTTTGTCAGGTTCATTTGAGAGCCAGTGTGATGGTTCTGGCGGTATTCCTGTGATAGCGCCTCTTAGCACCGCTTGTCATTTGACCACGTTGAGGCTTTTCTGAGTGGTCTGCACTGCCAGCCCCAGAGCAGGCATTGTTCCACAGGGCAATGCTTGCTTAAAGACCCCACATGGCTTTGGAAACCTGGAAAGGCTCTGAGATATGTGGAATATTTGTCTTGGCTGGAAATTATAATCTCGCACATCTTGGCCTCTCCGGACGGAGAGCGATTAACTGCCTTGCAGTGAATATCGTTTGCCGTGAGATTTTTTTACTCAGTGTGCAGTGCCTCTTCATTTTTCCAAGTGGACAGAATATTTGAGATTTAAAGTTGCACAAATATGCCATAATGTGCAAATTGAACAAAGCGCATTGCATTCAGTGGACAATGAATAATCTTCTAGTTCTTGCAAACCGGCGCATTTGGAGTAACTGGTTAATTCTTAAATGTATCATGATCATTATAATCAGCTATGATGAATCCACTGCTGGATGAAGGCCTCCCCCAAGCCATCACCATCTACCATAGTCTTGCAATGCATCAATGCATTCAGCACGGGGACACAAGCTGGTTTTATCGCTCCATCTTTGCCGTGAACGTGCTCTCAGGTTTGTTGCCTTCTTTGGCTGCCACTCCGTACGTTAACCTTGACCAGCTCAATGTTTAAGCATTTCAGCATATTTTGCCATGCAAAGCATGGAAAATTAAATCATCAGTGAGGCATTCTGGAAGATAGCCACTGGACGTTTGTTTTGGCCACTGACGTTGGCTGCTTGCATTGGCTGCCTTTATCACAAGAGCCACGAGACTCTTCACTTGCCTGGGCTGGAGCTGGACGCAGCAGAAATTTATCGAGTTATGGCCACAAATCTTCATGCAATTTATATCTCAATAGATTTACTCTGATGCATATTTGCATTTTACAGCCCCTGGTGTCGTACTTTGTATTTTGGGGAATTGTGTTTTATGGTCTAAAGAAATGTGCATCATAAAAGATACGTCATACGAGATTGTTGGTGAAACATTGCAAATGGCCAATAGCAGTGGTCAGCATATAAATGGATGTCTTGATGGGGCGAGAGAAGGAGGGTGTGGTTGAGGACATTAAGAGCTAAAAAGAACAATGCTCCCTTACCGCTCCCACAAATAATTGTTCTGGCGAAGGGATGCCAACGGAGAGAGGTCTCTGCCTACAAGCTCTTCGCACAGGCATAGAAACGCTAAAGACAAAGATCCCCGTGTAGCCTTAACAGACTGTTAAAGGCAAGTGCTTTTAGCGAGCACCTATGAAGGCCGGCACGATACAGAATGGGGTGGGTGGCCAACGCCATGCCCGACCGCTTTTGTCTCCCCAGTACCAGGTACTCATTTGGGGCTGAGTCGACCTAGGGGAGGCCCAGGACCGGTTCAGATAATCGTCACTCGTGTTGGCCGTGAGCGGGAGTCGAACTCGGGGCGCCGGGTTCGTAGCGCAGCTTGCTAACCCCTGCACCACCACTCCCCATAGAAACCCCTCCACCCTCTCAAGCAACACCCCATCACTCACTGACAGCGAGGGAGTGTGGAGTGCTCATCGGCTTAAGGAACACCAACGACGGCAAAGTGCACCCTCCGCTTCGCGTTTCACTAAACGCAGGCCTCTCGGTGACAGGCGAGGCTTCGAACCCCCCTCGGTGGAATTCTCCTTTGACGAAAGGGCCCACCCGACGAGCTGCCACTCGTTTGTGTTCACAGCTCTCCACAAAGACGCTCTTGATGTGGTTCGTGTCGATTTTTTTTTTGCTCAAGTAAGGCGCGAATGCGATGGGCTCGCCACAAATGCAAGAAAGCGCACTCGGTGATGCAGAAGGCTGGGAAACCCAACAAACCAGTCGAATGTTTTCTTATGTAAGCACGGGGGAGGGGGGGAGCGGGGGAACGGATCCATTCACCCCACAATACCGCACGCACCTCGTCAGCTGCGGCCTTCTGTGAAAAGACACGAAGGGCCCTAGAAACACACAGACCTCCCACCATCTTTCCCTCCCTCGCTTGGCGACAAACGAAAAAAAAACGTTTTAGGGAGGTGAGCAGCTTCTGTTGATTGTAGCATTGCTGCGACTGCGTGTGAACTGGTAGAGGTAAAAAAACAGACAAAAACATTAAAGGGAACTTGACCTTTAATCAGTGTGAGAGTTTGACATGATTGAATAAGACAGATGTGGTCATGAACCTTGAAGAGCAGTTGATTTTTGGCGGTTACACGTAACCTACCTCATGCATATTCCTATTAGGCTCTGTGAATTTACAATAAACAGAAATGGGTTCTTGGTATAAGACTACCGACAGCCGACCTCGATTCCATCGCACGACATCTGGTTTCACCACTCAGGAGGATAATGTTTCCAGATTCGTCAGGCTTAGGTTTTAATGACTCTGAGACCAAAGAAAATTTTTTGGCATGCACAATGAACCCCCATGGTTGTGTTTTAGTGGAAGCCGCCATCCTTTAGAAGGGCAGCCTTTAAACTGGCCACACCGCATAACCCGGTCATTACACTCGCCAGTGACCTCCCGCGATGATGACAAAGCGCTCGCAGACATAATACCACGAACCCTTCACTGACCGATTGTTTCGGTTGCTGCTCGGTTTACAAAGGGGATGAAAACAAATCCATTGCAAGTTTTGCTAAGTAAATTACACCTTAGCCGCAGTCCAAGGCATGTGCAGCCGTCCTGCTTTTGTGGGCTGCGTGTGATATTTCCCGTACCTCCCAGATCTCAGAAAACTCCAATAGTTTTGAGTAAAATATTCCCAGCAGGGAAATGAGAAAAAAAATAAACCTGCTGAATGTGCAGATTTGGTACGTTACAGGGGACTGTGTACATGGATGGGTGTTGACAGTATTTGTTGCCAAGCGCCTGGCAGTGATATGAATGGGCGTCCCCTGCATTGTTTTTGTTACATTTGGCAGCGTCTCCGCTTGTGACGCTTGTGTTGGCACCAGCGCCAACGCCGCAAGGAGCACGCGTTGACCCCATGGCCAGTGACCACTGCAGGCCGAATGTCGCTGACCCTCCCTTCTCCTGTCTCACCTGCTGGCCTCTCGCCTGTTGGTCACCTTTACCCCCCCCTCCCCACAACCCCCACTGCACCCCCACCCCCGTGGAATCAGGTAACGACCTTTTCATCGTCGCTGTGCACGAGCTGGGCCACGCGTTGGGCCTGGAGCACTCCAACGACCCGTCGGCCATCATGGCGCCCTTCTACCAGTACATGGACACGGATGACTTCCAGTTGCCCTACGACGATTTGCTGGGCATCCAGCAGATCTACGGTAGGTTGATAAGGCCTCGTCGTCCTTGCCCTTGCCTAGCCATCCAGAACCCTCCAATTGAATACGCTCGGTCCTATCACACAAAATACAGCCCGCCGAGCCCGTTCTACAGTGACGGATATAGATGGCGCTTCCGACACCAGGAAGCTCCTGCGATTGATGAGCATTTGTTTTGGCTTCGTAGGAGGGAGATCCTGCCTGGGTGGGTGATCTCACTAGAGAAGTGGTACAGAAAGAGGGAGCAGTGAAGGAGGCTTCGACCACACAACTGGAAATATTCATGCTCCCCTGGCCGCCCTCTCCACTCTTACACTGACACATCTCTGTTTACTTCTGGAGTCAGAGAACCTTCCTCCCTATACGCTGTGGCCCCTCTCAACACGTGGAATTCTCAGGGCACAATAGCATGCCCAAGCACATTCTAAGATGAGATGGAGCCCTAACGCTAGTTAATTTAACCCTATATCCCTAGGTGTAACTTTAGCCCTAACCTTAACCCTGACCTTAGTCATAACTATAACCCATTGGGATATCAGTGCCATGATAATAGATGTACAGTCTACCAGAACTAATTGGGTGGCTGAGCGGGTTAATACTGTGTCAGACCGCTGAGCTGTGCTGCTGAGATCCTGGGTTTCATTCCAAGTTTCAACCAGCTGTAATTAGACCGGATTAACTGTAGTGAGTTAATATTCTTGGCTCAGCCACCCAATGACCACGCAAAAAGAGCATGTCAGATTCATCTTTCAAAAAACACTCTTTATATGGCACATAAAATGTGTCTCTTGTTTGAATAAGTGCCTCTTGCAGTGACTTCAGAAGTCGTGATACGGCGTCATCACGTTGGTGTACTGCTCGCTGTGAAAGTCTAAATCTCATTTTGGTCTCATCTCTTTCTATGTCCCGTCTCGTACTCTTCATTCCCAATCTTCTCTATCTCTTTTTGTCTCTCCTTCTCCCTGTACTCAGTCTCATTTTTTATCCTTCTCCATCCACCGGAATAAACTTCCCCTGTACATGAAGCAGTCCCCCCCACCCCCTGAACCTCCTTCCGATCCTCTCTCAAAGCCTCACCTACTCTCCATTGCCCATTCCCTTACTCTTCCTTCCCCTTGCCCCTCCACTCAGTCCCGTCCCTCCCATGCCCCTTCGTGACCCCACATGCCCTCTTTTGCGGTCACTCATTCCTCGGCCCTTGCATGCTGCTGCCATCTAAAGCACTCGATTTTTGTTCCCGCTTTTTAACTATGTAAAACGCCTGGTGCGAAGGTGCTCTCTCTCTCTATGTATCTCAAAATAAGATACTCGTGAAAAAAATACTTTGTCTCCTGCCCTTTTAATTTTTGTTTGTTCTCCGTTTCAAGTGTTCTGCGGCCTGGGTGCACATTCAACAGGGAAAGCCTCTCTGCAGTCACTGCTTTCACCTGTGCCCTCCGCACGTAGCTGCGTTTCTTAAAGGCGAACACGTGCTTTTGATTAGTGGTGGAGCGTACCATGTTTACCAGAGGGGGGTGAGGTGGATTTGATGTCAGGGCCCTTGCTCCATAGGAAGCGCCTCTGTGGTCGTTATTTCTCCGGCTTCACGGAGCGTAATGGGAATAAGGCGTGAGGGCTTTTCCGGTGGGAGGGGACTCTTGGAGTCTTCCTAACCATTATACAAGGTCGCACAGAGAAAGGTTGAAAAAATGCAATCCTTTCTCTAAATTAATTCACTGATTGAATCCCAACTTGAACTACTGCAGACAAAGCGGTGATCCTGAGAGGGAAGATGGCAGGCCTTTACCACATCGCTGGGGAAAGACAATTTGTTGCTGACAGCATTTGCGGTCATGCGGAACGGCGTGTCCATGTGTGAGCATGTGCACAAATGCCTGTGTGTATATATCATCGGTGCTTGCTTACAGCACTTGCCCTTAAAAGTCTGTTTAGGCTATATGGGGGATCTTTGTCTAGTTGTGAGCATGTGTGTGTGTGCATTTTGAGCATGCGTATAGTTCTGCGCATGAGTGCATGTCTTAGCATGTGTTAGCGTGTACATGTGTGTGCATTTGAGTGTCTGCTAATGCGCATACCTCTCTGTGTGTATGCATGTGAGTGTGCATGCGAGTGTGTGTTTTAACTTGTGAGCATGTGTGTGTGTCTGTCAAGCGGTTATGCAATAAATAGCACATTGTGATATTATCCAGGTGACCAATAATATCAGTGTTTTGATTTAAAGCTTTCGTGACTGCAGTAATTCATATTCTTGGTTCTTTTGGTAAAGTCACGTGACTTTTCCGAAAGAACCAAGAAAATAATATCAGTGTTCTTGATCTGCATCTCCTTTGGGTCAACTCAGGATTATAATTAGTACCTTGTGCAGTGTGTAAACATCATCACTGGGGAGTCCAATATGCATGGCCAGGCATGGTGCTGGCCATAAAAAAACCCTTGTGCACCATGCCAGCCTTAATAGGTGTTCACTCACGGCACTTTACTGCAAGAGTCTGTGAGGCTTTGCGTGTGGGTCGTGTGTGTACGCCTGTATCTTTGTGTGCACGTACGCTTGTGTTTATATGTTTGTGTGTTTTTTCTTTGGTCGTGCGAACCAGGTCCCCCGACCCACCCGCGTCCGTCAGTGTCTCCGGGTAAACCGAATAAGCCCAACAAACCCAAGCCGCCCAAAACGAAACCGGGACAGGACGTGCCGCGACCCGGCTCGCCGCCCGACATCTGCAAGGGCGGCTTCGACACGATCGCCATGCTGCGCGGGGAGATGTTTGTGTTCAAGGTGCGCCTGTCGCCTTGCCACGTTGCCAGGGTTTATTTATCCTACCCGCCCGCAGTTGCGCAACACGCAGCGTTGAAATTAAATACAATGCAAATAATATTTTTCTCCCCATAAAATGCAGTTATGAATGCTGTCGTGCTGTGAATCATAAATGGAATGCTGGATGTTATTTTCCAAATGGTGTCTGAACAGGTGGCCAGGTGGCTTAGTGGTCAGAGCACTGTGAGCATGGCACTGCTGAAATCCTGGGTTAAAATCTGGGTTTTATAGGCTCACGCTTAAATCAGGTTGATTTGGTTTATCTTTTATTATTGCCTAAATTCCAGCTCTGGGAATTATATTTATTTGGCTCTCTTAGAAAGGTATCTAAGAATGTTCGCATGACGAAACAAGGTCACTGAAATAGATGTCACAGGAAGTTCTGTAAAACCCACTTCTATAGGCTGCTCACAAACACTTGGGGTAGCACTGCTCTGTGAGAGTTCTGAATCTATTATTAATTGCATAAAATGAGGTTGATAGTGTGCATAACGTTGGTACATTTCCTAAATATTAATCCGAAAAGGTACAGAGACAAATTTGAGTTTACTTGGAAAGAGATGGAAAATGGCCACACCACCTTAACTGATTTATCCTACAGTCCTTCCCTCGACAATCCAACAGCCAGAGGCATAGTGTGGCAGGAATGGGCCCTGGCACGAGAAATTAAATTGGGCCTCTGACCAACTTCCCCTCTCTTTGTAGCCTGACGTCTGGACCCCTGGTGCAGTTGCACTGCCTGCACACACTCGATAGCTTCGCCACTGCCAACAATCCACAGTTTAACAATCGGACAGACGGGCAACGTCGTGAAACCCAATACAGGCAGCATTGGACTGAGTTGAACCCTCGCATTAATTCGTAGATGTTGTGAGGTTTGCACTTTATGGGGATTTCTCATTCATAATGCTTCCGCCCAGACGTTGCGGACTTGTCACGAGATCCAAAGGGACCCCAATCAAAGCGGAAATTTTACAAGACCGAGCTCAAGCAGTCGGCCTGTTTGCTCAGGTGAAAGGGACGTGTGGCGCGGTGGCTTTATGCACCGCATTTATGATCTCAATAATTTTTCCAGCGCCTTGGGTTCCTTTCGCTCTCCCCTCTGCCACACCATTGTACTCCTCTCCATCCCAGCACCGCCCTCCCAAACACCGCCCACACAAGCAGGTGGTGTATGTGGTATTTTTTACATTCTTTAATGCAGCTGCGTTCCGCTGAACGTTGGAACCTCCTTTCCTCCCACAAGCCGTCCTGGTCAACGTTTCAGATGCTGAAAAATTGGCGCGTCCTTCACTCATGTGCGTGCTCGATGCCCCGCGTGACTCCCTAACCCTATGTTTAGCGATGTGACAGGAATATTGGGGGAGTTTCTTGTGAATCTGGTTGCAGCCCCTGACTGCCAGTTTTGTTAATTCCATGAAACTCCAGTTCCTTATCATTGCCATACCACGATACTGCAGCACCTTTTATCGTAAAAATGAAAAAAATTATCCTAGCTTTACAAACACAAAGAAAATGTAAATTTGTGTAGGCGGTCATACCCTTGGCTGAACAATGAAAACAAATATCTTCAGAAGTGCCAACATTAAATAGCAGCATTTTATTCGTTGGTTGAGCAGCTGTACAAAGCGTAGTTATTTTTAACATCTCGAACCGACAAAAAAATACTGGCTATATTTCTTCCCAAAAAATATACTACAACACACGTTATAACATGAATCAGATGCTTGCCTGATTCTAAAGATATGAATTAATTCATGTGTATGGATATGAACTGTCGCTAATGAACACAAATGCATTCTTCATTGCCATTCTATTGATTTATTCAAACATTTTAGTTTTTATGTTTTTAATTCATTCCGTTTGTAATTTGAGAATCAAAGTCAGTACAGAGATGTGCAATATACTAATCATCTGCCAAACTCAGGTTTGTCTTTTGAGAGGCCGTTACCCGATCTGGAGAACATAGAAAAACATTTAATGGAGGGAACGAACAGCTTGTCAAACACCGGACAAACTCCACCTCAATGCCATCAACGAGTCACAAAGCAATATATATTTAGCGAATACCAGAGTCCGTGTGACAGTGCGTGCTTGGAAAAATCAAAGGGAGAGATTTGGGATTGCATGGCAGGCATTGTCCATTGCTGCAGACAGGTGGCAACTCGGACATGGCCAAGGTAACATGACAGCTCTGAAACCTCTGCCAAAGCTGTTTGATTCGTAAGGAGGTGAACTGTCAATTATGAACATTGTGCTTTTGGAGATTTATGATTCTTGCGGCTCATGATAGCTGGACGGCCTTCATCCCCACCACTCACTGCACGTCTCCGCACCACCCAACAGGCTTCTCACCACCACGTTTCGGCATACTCTCGGTGTCGCACTCTACGCCGCGCTCACTCTTTGGAATGTTGTTTTATTCAAGAAATGAAAACGGAGTTGCCAAAACCATGTTGCATTGTTTATTTGCCCAGGAGGCCTCCAGGACGTTGCATACTGCGTAGCTGGGGGAGTCCGACAGCGGGAAGGGGTTCCGCTATCCACCCCCACCTCCCCCCCGTCTCACCACTGTCTAAATTTCTTCTTCTCGCCTTCACCTCCTCCGAACCTCGGCCGCTGCAGGACCAGTGGTTCTGGCGTGTCAAGGACAAGCGCGTTCCGGAAAACTACCCTATGCCGATTGGCCACTTTTGGCTGGGCCTGCCCAACAACGTGGAGTCGGCGTATGAGAGGGGTGACGGAAAGTTCGTCTTCTTTAAAGGTACCGAATTTACTGGGTGTTTTTATTTTCGCGTCTATGAACGCACCTGCCAGCGATGATGCCTCTGTAGAGACGAGGGCCGCAGCTGCTCGTGCTCGCCCCTGTGATGTAAGGCGGGGGGAATGCGCCCAGCTGGCATCGTACCTACACGACGGCCCTCAGCCACATGTTGCCATGGCCCTCGGTGACGTCCTTCCATTCGGCTGCCGCATTAACATTTCTCGCGGGACGCTTCAAAGGGATTTTGCGTCTTGGGGTCTTGGGGTTCAGATGGATGTACAACTCAAAGAGATGCTTTGCGTTATTTTAAATCCACTGTCCTTATCCCTCTTGTGTGTAAAGGTGACTTATTCACTCCACGCGTCCCTCTTGTTCATCCGCGATTAGGGGTACTTCTGTTTTTCTTTCATCACAAAGACTCATCCTCAAGTATTACACTTTACAATCACAATCTTCACTTTCACATGCGGCAGCAGAATTTTTTTTTAGAATTCAAGATGTCCTTGAGCCCTCACAGCTTGGGGTTTAAGATGGATATCGGAATGTCCAACATAGCTTTTCTGTCTTGAAACATGTTGTCTGTGACCGTCGATGGGAATAGCTTTAAGCTTCTCAGGGCTGAGAAGGGACAACTCTATGACAACAGAGTAACAACAGGAATAAAACAAACATAAGTAAATATCAAGGATTGCAGTAGGCGCGTATCGGATCGCCCTCGCAGCCGTATGAAGACATTTCACAGGGAAGCTAACGATCCAATTCGAGAATCGTTTTTTGAAATATCTGATTTGGACAGAATCGTTTGCCTTGATTCTCGTTCGCACAATCTTGTTCGCTCCGTGAGTGGATATGTATCATTCACGCTTACTTTGTTTAAAATGTTATATAAAATATCAATAATCGATTCCCACACATACGACTCAATGTTTGTATCATAAGATTGGGAATCGATTCCATTCATTGAATCAGTGCATCATTGGCAAGCGAACGTGCTCTGAACAAAGCAGTTTATTCATTTAGAACACGCACTTGATAACATTTTCCATAGTTGTTTGAAAATGCATCACTGTGCTCCAGGCTAACATGCAGCTCGTGGTCGTGTGGTGTAACCTGTTTAACCATGTGTAATGCCGTATTCGCTATGACAAGTCTTTCTCTCGGCACCTTGAACCTTTAACATGCCAATCTCCTCTAACAGGCTCTCATTAGGCACCTCCATACCAACATGCGGTGTCCTTTTTAAGTACTCATTTAAACTTCCATTAAACGCATGCCATTGCTTACAATCATGAACGGACATCGCATGCAAAAGCCAAAGACACGATTCCGCACCAAGCAATCCAATACTGACATGCGACGCTGCACAGCACTGAGCCAGGGCAGGATGCAGGGCCAGGAAACTTCACTGACCCTTAAACGTCACCCTCGTGACCCACAGACCTCCTGTGGGTCACGTCAGATCCTGACCCCTGGTACAACAGGACACAGGACGCAGCGTCCTCCTGGCAGCCTTTCTCCTTACCCACCACCACGCTTACAGAACCAAGCTGGCGTACTCACCCTGTTTCCCCCCCCCCCTCCGTTCCACCCCCTCCCCCACCCGCCATCATCCCTGCCGCAGGCAGCAAATTCTGGGTGTTTGACGAGTCCGTGGCGGAGTCGGGATACCCCCGCAGCCTCTCAGAGCTCGGCAGCGGCATCCCCAACGATCAGATTGACGCGGCCGTGTGGTGGGAGCCCTCGGGCAAGACTTACATTTTCCGCGGAGACAAGTGAGTGGGTTCGGGTTCACGGGGGCGGTGGCGGGCGCTACGGTAGGGCCGCATCGTGTTACATAGCGAAACGTTTATTTATAACGGGATTAGCCAAACATCTCAGTTTAGGACCCTCAAAATAGAATCTTGAGGCTCATTGAGGCTTTCCTGTGTAAATGTACTCCTGGACACCTATGAAAAAGAGCTTTATAGCTCATCAGATTGCTCCAGTATAAATAAAGATTCTGATGTGCAGCCATTTTCTCATTCCACTGCTGGATGAAGCCGTCCCAGTGGCATTCGAGTGCTAGGAGTTATGTGACGACACTGCACTACACTGGCCAGTTTGGGCTAATGAAAGTGGGGAGAATACTGTACATGTGGACACAGAGGCACTGGATGACAATAGATTTTACTGCACTGCCATCTGCTGCCCAACATGCAGCCTATGAGCCCTATGACAACCTGTTGGTGCATGGTGATCACCCATCCAAGCGCTGGACTCAAATCTGCTTTAGCTTATAAGATCTTACGTACATGTACATGAATATATATTACTAGCATTTTGCCCGTCCAAGGACGGGTGTATTGCAGCAAATCTGAAACTTGCAAGCGAAAAGCATACCGCGACGTGATAGTCATTGCATAAATGCATTTGCACTTTGTAAGGGTGCAGTGGCACAGACCTATTTCATTGCGGAGATCGCGTGACGCGAGGGTTCTGCCTTTGTAGTGAGGGTTGTAAGTTGACGCCGAGGAGGGGGGAGGAGGCACCTCGCCCCCCCATGTGGAGTGACGTTAATGGAGGGAGGGTGTCCATTTGGAGGACGTCACCTGTTCATGATTATTAATGAGGGGGGCTGGTCGACGTGGAGTGACGTCACGAGCGTTAAGGACATTCCTGGGTGATTATATGAATTAATTATTAGTGGAAGTGTCCATCTAGGCCTCGGCAAGGTAAAGTAATTTACGCTTTTTACCGGGTAAAAGGGTAAAGGTAAAGGGGAAAGGTGTCGACCATGCCAAGGGGTAAGGTAAAGGGTAGGGTAAAGGTAGCGCGGAAGAATTGCCCGGTAGGGTAAAGGTAGCGCAAAATATTAAATATTACCCGGTAAATACCTTGTTTACCGCTAAAAGCTCCGTGGCGCAGTCCGTGGCCTCCATTTTAAATTGCGATAATTGATGTCAGACCAGATGGAGACGGACCACGTTCTTGAGGTAGAGGATGAGGTCGAGGGTGCCAGCAACGACATTTTCGGGGTCGCTGCGAACAGCAATCGAAAGAGGCAGCGGCATGCGTTCCCGTGGAGCACACTCACGATTGGATGGAGGGTGATCCCCGTGTGCAGCAAGGAAAGCAGCAGTGCGTGCACTGCTGCAAGTGGTTTTCCTCCCACATGAACGCGTCGGGGTGGAAAGTCCACCTCAAGAAGCATGGTCGACACCTTTACCCTTTACCTTTACAACGTGCTTGCCCCAGGCAGCAAGGTCGGGACGTCGGCGTCGACGTGCCACCTAATACAGCAAACGCTGAGCCAGCCAGCAATCCCGGATCGCCTCCTGGTAAAGTTTGAGAACGCAGTGGTTGATTTTGTTATCCAAGGTGCAATCTCTTTGCAAGCCGCCGGCACCGACAAGTTCAAAACCTTGGTCCACACATTGATGCAGGGATACGAGGGCCCGTCGACCCGCACCATCATTCACAGGATTGTTGAGTATCACGCCATCATGCTGCCCATCGTCAGGGCATTCATGTCCAACCTGGACGTCACCATCTCGCTCACCATCGACGGTTGGTTGAACCGCAACCTGAAGGGATTTTGGATGATCACGGTGCACTGGATCGACACCAAATCTGGTGCGTCGAAATCCATGCTGCTGACGATCCTCGATGTGCAGTCCGGAAGGGGTGTCGGCAAGCGCATTGGCACCACTCTGTTTGAGCACCTCCAAAGCCTCGGGCGCAATGTCTTGACCAAGCTGCTTGCTATCACCAGCGACAATGGTTCCGATGCGATCAGTGCTGTCAAGATGTTGTTCGCCCTGGTCAACGTGGATGCGGGTTATGAGCAGTTGCGGGCTTGCCATCATATTCGCTGCGTGGATCATTCGGTCCAGATTGGCGTCGTCCAAGTTCTCAAACTGATCAAGTCGACCAACGCCGCACTGCGCGAGGCACTCGTCAATTTTAGGCGGAGCAAGGTCATCCGGCAGTCGTACCGCCGCGAAGCTGAGATCGCCAAGCTCGCCAGCAAGGAGCCGACGCACCATGACTCGCCGACCAGGTGGAATTCGACGTTTGACATGGGCGACAATGCCATCAAAAAGCGTGTCCCATTGGACATTATCATAACACGCTTCCAGGATGTGATCGGCGTCGGTGCTTTCTCTGAACTGCAGTGGGCAAATATCGAGGGCGTGACAGCATTCCTGCGAATGCTGTGCCAGGTCATGACCTTGTTGTCGGCGGACCGTAAGTCGACATTGGATCTCGTGCCGGTGACGATGGAGCACCTGATCCGTCATTGCGATCGCGGTGAAGCTGCTCTTAGAGTGATCGATGAGTCCTTGACCGCGACGGGAATGAAGGCCGAGCTGGTGGGGTACCGCGACTTCCTGGTTCAGGAACCCGCCATTGTGGCATCCTACTTGAATCCACAGCTGCTGAAAGCGACAGACCAAGACGAGTTGGCTACATTGAAGGCCACGATCCGCTCTGTCCTGCAGCTTCGTTACTCGGACGTGCTCGCGATCCCACCGACGGCAGTCGCTGCCCACATGGAAGAGGGGTCGCTGTTCAGCACCCTGTTCAGCAACGTCGACAGCTCCATTGATGACGGCGATGAAGTCGATCGTTTTCTGAGCATGGGCTCACTGCATTACATTGACGTAATGCAGTGGTGGTCTCTCTGCAAAGAGCTGCTCCCTGCCCACTACAAGATCAAGATGACCTGCGACTACTTCGGAGCGCCGGTGACGTCAACTTCCTGCGAACATGCGAATAGCGGAGCCGGGCGGGAGTTCACATGCGTTCGCCAGTCACTGTCGTCGACGGTCTTCATCCAGTCCATGTGCTTGCGCTCGTGGATCGCGGCCGGCTGCCTGAAGGTCCCCCGTCTAACTGGGCCGGAGCGGCGCAGGATCTTATTGCCCGTCGTTCATCCAAGGACAACGGCAATGACGAACTTGATCAGGTTGTTGATGAGATCGTCATCAACCAAGACGACTGGGATGAGGAGGTTATGGAGGACGGTGTCGTCGACAGCCTCAATGCCCGATTCGAGAGTATTCTATATGAATAAAGCGCTCTACCTAGCATTTACCTGTTATAAACCTTTTCATGTGTAGTACCCTGGTAATTACCCTGTAATCGGGTAATTGTATGAGATAAGGGTAAAAGGTAGGGTAAAGGTAGGCTCGTTGCTTTTGACCTTTTACCTTACTTTGCTAAAGGGTAAAAGGTATGGGTAGAGTGATTGTATTGTGGTAAGGTAAAAGGTAGGGTAAAGGTAGGCTCAATCTTGATTTGAAGCTTTCGTGACTGCAGGAATCCATACTCTTTGGTTATTTCGGTAAAGGTAGGCTCGTTGTTTTTACCTTATTACCTTCCCTTGCCAAGGCCTATGTCCATCGTTGAACGATGATTCACACCTCCACCCACAATATCCCCCCTCCCCACCCCTGGGTGCCATCCCCCCCGCGCATACATCCCCAAGCCCCCAATCCCCAGCCCTGGTCCAGCCACTACCCCCCCCCCCCCCGTGCGCGCCCTTCCCCAGTCTCTCTGCCTGCGTCCTGCGTCTCTACCCCACACCCCGTGCGCACCGCCCCACCACGGCCCCGCCGTGCACCCTCTCTAACCCGCGCACCCCACAACGACCCCCCCTCACCCCAGTGCCCCCGTACGCATCACGGCCATCAGCGCGACCCCTCCCCTCGTGTAATCCTCCCCGTAGGGGCTGCCCCCCCACCTGCGTGCCCACCCACAGCCTCCAGCCAATCAGAATACTGCGAAATGACAGAGAGACGATTAGCTTAATTGTCCAGGAAAAACTCACTGAGCCTCAAGACTTTTTGTTCAGAAGGATCCTGCCAAGGGTTAATATGATGGATGATGGCGTCGGTACTCGTGGTTTAGTGGGGGGCGTGGGTTTCGTGGACCGGAGAGACATGGCACACGCTGACCATCCTCGCTTGTGACGTTCACAGGTACTGGAGGTTCAACGAGGAGAGTCTGACGGCTGAGTCCGGCTACCCCAAGTCCATCAGCGTGTGGGAAGGGATACCATCGTCGCCGCAAGCTGCCTTCCTCGGCTCGGAGAGCAGTACGTTGTCACCCTCGTGATTACTTAGGATCTGCATAGATATGACACTTGAACGCCTGAGCAACTCAAATGGTCTCGCATCTCAGCTCAATCCATTCCAATACCCTGCTGCAGTCCTACTGGACATCTGTAAAAAAAAACTGCTTCATAGTTAATACAATATCTTCAGGATAAATAAAAGCTGATTCTGAGCCTAGGGGACCTCCAGTGGTGGCTGTCCCAGTATATGATCATGTATGGTGTATGTAGTAGCCTGCAAATGGGAATTAGTCTGCTATTGCCATCATCATCAATGTTACATCATCAATATTTACGGATAGTAATATAATCACTGCACTAATTCAATATTATTAGTACAATATGATCCATTTATCGATATCCAACGAAAATAATTGGGAGAAATTACAGTGAAAATAGCATTTTATTTCGAAGCCTCTGCACGTCTTCCACTGATCTGAATGCACGTATTAAATATTTTAACACTCTCCTCTGCAATATATGGAGCCATCACTCTCACAATATGTAATCTCCTGTTGAGAAGAAAGTAAGAGGTGCATTAGAAATCAGTGGGATATCTATAAATGGATCACGCTGTATTATTAGTATTTCACTGGTGTGGTCATTATAATTGCAGTGTGATTGGTAAGGCTCTTGTAAATGTTATTGTTGTCAAATGACAAACTTTAGCTGCCTTATAATTGTACAGCCATTTCCATTGCTTTGTAACAAAAATGGGGCTGTACTCGCTTTGTAACAAAAATGGGGCTGTACTCGCTTTCGTGCAGCGCGCCATCGCTCCCCCCGAACCCCCTGCAGCATAACAAAAGGCGGCTTAACTCAGCCCTCCCCCCCACCCACGTCCCTTTCTGGCTCCCCCCCTCTTAACCTGTATAGAATCCCGGCTGTCTCAGAGATGTCCACTTGACACATATTCTGCTGTGACTATTCCACCTGAAGACGGAAGCTTGTGTTACCTCCGAAACGTCGTGATTTCATTTAGTTGTTTTATTTTATTTTACCTACGTGACTTTACCGAAAAAAACAAAGAGTATGAATGGTATCATCGTTATGATGCTGCATAAATATTGTATGTTAATAATTTACAGCTCTTTGTCAATTTACTGCTGCATGAAGCCCTGCACCCCGTCGTGTCGGTCATGGGGTTGTTTGACCATAATTAACCACGCTGGTCAGTGTGAGTTGGTGAAAAGGGGGACCCTGGACTTGTTCTGATATCATTTGCTTCTGATGTTAGCCATGCCCAGGAATTAAACTCAGGATGCCAAGTTCATAGTGCTAGTAATTGCACATCACAATTTCCATTTACGCCTTATGTTCTGCGATTCACAAAACATTCCACGTTTTACTTCCTTGCAAAGGCATGGAGGAGTCTCTTCAGTGGATCTATGACGTTATTGAGCGTAATGGGCTTGTTAGTAGTTTTTCACGCAACATTAACCCTGTATGTATATGCTATCACTTATTGTCTAATGCCACAATGGATCGTGCCTTCCATTAGGGTACAAACTGCTTCTTAAATATTTATGATGGCCACTTTACAATCAAATATTCATACTGGTCTCTCCGGAGACCCAGAATTCCATTCAAGGCCATAAAAGGCACAGAGTACGCGCAAACAGGTTTGTGTATGTGTGTGCCTGCGTGTTGCTGACTGTGTCACTGTGGCATCTGCAGGCAGCATTTAACGGTTGAGTGGTTTTTATTGTGATCGCTTGCTTCGAATTAATACATTAAATTACAAAAAAAATACACACAGAGGGCAGAGTATGAGCCAACAACAGAACATTCTACATGAGGTTCTGCTTGTTTATGGGTCTGTCCTATTGGTGGGACAATGCAAGAACTCACCCACTACTTAAAGTCGAGCTACATACATTGATTCACACATGTCAGAAATAATGTTTTTCAGACAGTATATATATTTTTTATCTTGGGTTTATGTTGCCCCTGCAGCCACGAGAGGTGCTACCAATCACCGCATTGTTAAAAAATGAAATACAATTTGTATTCAATTGTGGCACTAAAATTGGAACATTCAGCAAATCACCAGCACTGTGTTTAATGGCAATACGCTGTGTTTCATTGCAGTGTACACGTACTTCGTGAAAGGCAACCTCTACTGGAAGTTCCACAATCAGAAGCTCAGGGTGGAGCCCGGCTACCCACGCTCAGTGCTCTCCGACTGGCTGGGATGTCCGGACACAGGGAAAGACGCAGACAGGGAAAGAGATCGGGAGAGGGACAGGGAGATGGAGAGGGAACGGGAGAGGGAACGTGAAGAGGAAGAGAGACGGAAGGAGGAGGAAGAAGAAGAGAGGGAAAGAGAAGAGGAACGCGAGAGGGAGGAAGAGAAGGAAAGAGAGCAAGAGAGGGAGAGGGAGCGAGAGAGAGAACGGGAGAGAGAGCGTGACAAAGAGAGGGAGAAAGATAGCGACAGAGAGAGGGAGCGGGCACGAGAGGAGGAGGAGGAGAGGGAGCAGGAGAAGAAACGTCAGAAAGAACGGGAGCAAGAGCGAGAGAGAGAGGCGGGAAACGCGAACGAGAAAAGAAGAAGGAGAGGGAGCGTGCGAGGGAACGGGAGAGGGAACGTGAGAGGGAGCGGGAGAGGGAGCGGGAGAAAGGCACCGACAGGGATAGAGATGCAGATCGGGGCAAGGGCACGGGAAAGGACGACGTGTATGACTACTATGACCAAGACGTGACCAAGAACAAGGTGGAGGATGAGGTGCACGTGGTGGTGGAGGAGGTGGAAGGTGGCTTCAACCACGTGGCTCTAATCATCTGCCTGCTGCTGCTGCTTTGCGTCGTCATCGCGCTGCTTGCCGTGCTCTTCATCAGGAGGCGCGGCGCCCCCAAGCCCATCCGCTACTGCAAGCGCTCGATGCAGCAGTGGGTGTGACGGGTGGGCCACTCAGATTGGGTTCTCACAAGTTGGCCGCCTGCTATGGTTGCTCGCACTTAGGTTAGCGATGGAGGCCCAGAAAAAACACAACACACCCGCCGGCAGCCTCAGGGCGTCTGCGTTAGCTTTGTCACGTGTCTCTTGCAATAAAATGTAGGCTTTTTGAAAGTGAAAACAGGTTTCTTTTTTTATATATAAATATATAAGTAGACATGCCTCGCCAAGCTGTGAATGCTTGCTGCCAATTGGCCACGTGGTCACTGAACTCTGGTTCTCGTTTATCCACCGGAGCATCGAGCAGCCCCAATACCTCTCTGATGGTCTCATTGTACTCGAGGACTCCCTGGGTCGGCTTTTCACGCTTGGACCCCAATGCTTACCAGACAATTGCACTTAAATCTGCGTTGCAGGGGATTACAGCTTAATTACCCAATGCTCTGGTTGAATGTGCTGGCTGTGGGTTAATCAGCTGCTTAGCCTTTTAATTTATGGGTGCTTAAAATACAAATCAAAGTTGCCTGATTTTGGGGGGGGGGGGGGTTTAAGTTTTTAGTTGGCAATTATGCTTGCTCCTGCAGAGCAGTGTGCAAGCACTCAGTATTTTTTTTATTTTGTTTTAAACCGTCGTCACGCTTGCTGATAGGCAGTTGCCTCGGCAAAAAGGGAAACTTGCAGATTTTAAGTCACTTTTTACCAACGTAAATAAATTATTAAAAATGTCAGTAATTAAAATTAACAGCTCTTGTTTTGGCTTATTTTTTCCATAAACGAAGTGACCATTCTAAAAGCACACACAGTAGATTCCAGATGACCATTCTCAGATTTCATCGTTGGTGTGCTCATGAAGATAAACAACCACTTAATATCTTAAAATTGTATTGCAGTTGTGCCTTTTGCCTTTTTTTAATACACTATAACATCACATCACTTTGGATTACATCCATGAATTAACAAATTGTTTCTCAGCCGAGGGAATATAATGATTTATATACGACACATTTTTGTTTCATGCGTCTAGTGTCTCATAGTTTTTTTTTAGTTCTCTATGTGTGTTTTATTTTTACAGATTGGGGTATTTCTTTGCCAATTTGGGATTAACAATAGGTGTAATGATATATGTTAGCATAAGCATTCAATCCGAAATCAATTTAATTGCTATGTATCATTTTTTCCACTATTACTTTAATTTTGTATTTGTCTTGTTGATGTAAATGAAATGAGCTCAAATTTCATGCTGGTCATGTGTTGTATTGTATGACCATGTTTTACAGACTTTTAAAACAAAACACTTGACGTTTAGATTACAGCATACAGTGTACGCCAAATGGCTGAGGGCCCGACTAAGGAGGAACTGCCAAGAGCTATGAGCGTCAGTCCAAAGTGCTCGGGGTCTTCCGTACAGCATCACTGCCTGCATTGTGCCAGAGGAATTTTTCTTAAAAGGGCTCCAGTAAGCTCATCTTTGTTCACAACCCTTGGACGGCATGATTAATGAAAATGCGATCAGAGTCATACATCGAATACGTTAAGTGCCGAATCCCCTAAAATTACCCCCGACCAAGAGGCCGTCGTGACCCAGATTCCCATAATGAAATGCTCGTCCTCCTTGGCTAATGAATGCTGTACTAATGCCCTGGAGTACCGGTGGCTGACCCTCGCGGATCGTGCTTTTACGGTGATTACTTAGGAAATGGAATTGCTTTGTCTGCAGGACAGGCGAGCTTTTTGTTTGTGGTTAGCCTTGCACTGTTGGGATATTGGAGTTCCTGTGTACTGCACTGCACAATTACGTGCCCCGTCGTCGGCACAGCCGTGCGTTATCACCCGCTGGGTCTCTGTGCCGATACAATGGTCCACGGTCGTTAGAAATCCGCGGCCGTGCAGATCTCCAATTTTGGGGTCGACGGACCTAACCTCTGGAGAAACTGGAAGCATGGCCGGGTCTGCAGAAGTTCCGAGCTAAAACAGGCGGCAGTGACGTGGCGATGCGCAGCAGGCGCGAGCGCAAGCCCTGGAGGGTCAGGAGGCAACAGGCTGTCTGGTGTGGGGGGCAGGCGAGTGAGGTGGCAGCATTTCTATGAGGCCGTAAACCACCCACCCAGCCACACTCTTGGGCAACGACACAATGAGCTAGAGCAATATAAATCCACCGAAGCACTACCTTGATGAAACAAAACAAGTTACGATACTATTTTTTTTTAAACCTGTACTGTACATGAACAGCCCCTTTTTTCAATCCACTACTGGGCGAGGGCCTTCCCAAGCCGTGCAAGTCGCGGGGGTTATTTCACCCATACTTGACCACACTGGTCAGTGCGGGTTGGTGAAGTTGGGGAGCTGAGACGTGAGAGCAAATAAATACACTAAAATTAATATTGTAACATGTTGCCGTGATGTGCATTTGTAGAGACTGAATGTTTAATTGATATCTGGTTGGCACACACCTCTGCATACGTGCAGGTGGGCAAGTGTAGGGTGGTATACTCGGGAGAAGCCCTATGGCCTTTTTCATACAACACCCAAAGTATTTTCCCCTTAGTTTGCTCTGTATATATGTATGTTGAACGTCTTCCACACTACGTAGCCAACCGTGCTAATCGGAGGTGCGGGGGAAGGACAACAAACCAAATACAAAAAGCATTTATAAAGAAATTAGTTTTCAATCTTGATAAAAAAAATGCATAGCTCCAGTGGCTTTGCCTTAGTGTGAACTAAGGCAAAATTTCACTGAATTAATTGTATGCAACTGGCCACTGCTGGGCTCTTGTGCATCTGAACATGAGGATAATGTAGCACACTTGTAATTTGTTATGCAAGCGAGCGACCTTATGCCATGTCTGCTTTTGTTTGGCCATTTTTTTGGCTGTCATCTATGTCCCGCTCGGCTTTGTACGGCCAGGGTGGGGTTTCTGTCGTTTCTGTTGTCTCATCAGCCGGCGTCGTCCCGTGGGTATGGGCAGCACCTTCCCTCCTGGATAAAACTCAGAGCCTTCCTGTGCTACTCTCCTCGTGTTGAACAGCGTGCTACTCCGTCGAGCTGATACCACGAATGTTAACGATCCCAAAATGTTATCATGTTAGCGGCACGCCCCGTGACTGATTAAAGTACTGCTTGCCCTTTGAAATTGGGCAGTTATTTGTACCCGGACCGTTTCGTTCCTCTTTCGTGGGTCAACCTGACTTCGACGATCGAATTGGAAATAGAAATGGGTGATGACAGAAACATAGTTGTTGTAAACGTTGCACTTTTACAAACTCCGCAGTTTATAAAATTCACCTATGACCTTGCAAACAATGGGACAATCCATATAGCATGCAGAAACATGCAAATCTTTAACCTTAACACTACGTACGGATTGCCTGCGTTAAGAAAATAAAAACGGGAATTATCTACAAGGAGGGAGGACCTTTTTCCGACCGCAGGTAATGAGGTGGTGGGGCCAGCATGGGGATGGATCCCAGATTTGGGCCCCCGTCTCATCGTTGAGGGCCCCATGATGTGGTCACCTCTGGTCGAGGCAGCCCGAGGGTGGCAGTGAAAAGGCCGTGGTACGCTGCTGCCGCTGCATGCTGCAAATCCCCTGTTCCCCCTTCTGCAGTAATGAAACAATACAAGTCTGAGTTTTAACACTAATTGTTTTTATTGTAATCACGTTATGCATTTCCTTGGGGAATGGTCTACTTTTGGGACTACATTTGTTTTTAAATTCATCTATTATTGCTGTTTTTTATGTATCCTCATCTTCACCTTCCTGCAGATTATTTGTTCAGTAGAATCGTGGGTGTGGGTATTAGATGTTGCACATACTTTTTAATAAAGGCAAAAGTCATCAAAAAAACGTCGATGTGTCCTGTGTCCTGAATATGTTTCACTCGTTTCACGTTTTGTGTCGGTGCGTTGACAGCCTGCCGATGAAACTGGCATCCAGCTAAAGCAACTTCTGAGTCATACCTCGTAATTATTGCTAGGAATTCTCTCACACGTGTCCCCACTTGGGTCCTGTATTTAGCCAGGATTACTTATTTTATGAATTCAGTTGTAAACTCCGTTCCAGGTATCGAGTGACCTTTCGGTTTCCTGTACGCTGTGAGAAATACTTTTTTTAAAATCTGGAAACATTTACCTATCGTTCGTTGTCAATGCATCTACAGTCTTTCAATTAATTGAGCAGCCAATAGCCATAACAGCTTTTGTTTGTGAGAATTAAGCCTGTCAGGTGGCCAAGAGGTGACAGGACGGCAATTGATTTTGAATCCATCTGTCGAGATTTGTTATACCCTTCATGTGAGGTATTTCTTATGGTTATTTAGTTTCCTCCCACAAGCCAAACTATAATGGAAATTGGCCAAAAATCCCAACGCATGACCCTCTTAAAAAAATTGTACGACTCAAGCAAAGCCTGGAAAAAAAAGCATTTATTGTTAATGTGTTGCATCACACGGCCCTGACGGATTGCAATAACTTGTGAAGGCCTTCACCCAGCAGTGAATTGATCATGGTCGATGATGATATATCATATTCATTAGTGTTGTAAATTGAACTGTTTCCATCAGCATTGTCTTTTGTAAACTGAACATTCTTTTAAGTATAAAAGTTTTCCTAATCCAATCCGTTGACCTCGTTGCTGGGCAACAGCAGGACAGCAGCGTCCACTGTGCCTCCCTCTCGCCAGCATTCACAAAGGACCCAACAGTACATACAGTATTCAAATCCACAGCCTAAATAGGACTTGCACACAATCTGAAACAAGCGCCTTTTTATAATTAACTGGCATGGCATCTGACTGTTCAAAGCTTGCACTGTGTGTGCATACGGCTACTGCATGTATGGAAGACTGTTTAGCGTTTTAGCAGCACTTGGCCTCTACAATTCAGCATTGTAGCCTTGTACCAGTGGAAGGAGGGTTGCATCGTCTATCTTTACAATCATCGCTGTGTTTCTCCTCGATCGCGTTTAGGTGCCGCGTTTTCACAAGGCACCCCACGCCGTGGTACGGGGGAATTGTCTCAGAAGCATATGGAACAGAGCGACTTAGGATCCACTCAAGCAAAACAATTGAAGCGCTCACTGCATTGGCAGTGGTGAAAAGGCAAAAGTAAAACAGATGTATCAGAGAAAATATACAGCGGGCTTGCTTATTCAGGCAATGGCCTTTTCTTGAGAGCAGAGAGGAGCAATGAGATTGACTGACTTTAGAGTTCGAAATCCAACTTTATGTTTTAGGGCGCTGAGTAAGCTGAAGATGTTTAAGGTTTTCAGAAGAACACTACTCGCGAAATCAGTTCATATGTTAAATCAAAATTGTTCATTTGTAGACCTCAACATTCCCCTGTTGTTTTCTCAGGGCCCTACAGAGTAAAGTGTAACCTACAAGTAAAAAGTGTATTAATCGCTCCACCCTGTCGCTCTCCTCTGAAGGACTTGCATGAAACGTCAGCCTATAAACACGATAAGGCAGTGCTAATAATGACTTGTATCTATACCTTCTTGGGCGAAATACAGAATACCTTTTACATTTTTTTTCATGTTATGTCCATCTAGATTTTGCTTCCCTTTTTTTACAATTAACTAGATGGTGCAAACTAGATTCGAAACTTTCGTGACTGCAGGAATTACTCTTTGGTTCTTTCAGTAAAGTCACGTCGAAAGAAATTAAATTTAATAATAGAATACGACGTTTCGACTGCAACACAAGCAACCATCATCAGGTACAAATGAATGAGAAAACAAACCTAGTAAACTTGGAAATATAATGCAATACAACACAGAGAGTCGGCCAACACAATAGTCAACATCCCACCTGGTTGATTACGTTCTTCCAAACATTGCTAAATTTTAGATAGAGACAAAACATAGACACCGAAACACACACATAGGCACACTGTGTGCCTGTGTGCCTATGTGTGTATCTCTCTCTGTTTGTCTCTGTGTGAGTCTCTCTCTGCTTGTGTGTCTGTCTGTGTGTCTCCGTGTCTATGTTTTGTATCTCTCTTAAAATTAGCAATCTTTGGAAGAACGTAATCAACCAGGTGGGGTGTTGACTGTTTTGTTGGCCGACTCTCTGTGTTGTATTGTATTATATTTCCAAGTTTACTATGTTTTCTCATTCATTTGTACCTGATGATGGATGCTTGTGTTGCAGTCGAAACGTTTTATTCTATTTTAATTTTATTTAATTTATTTCTACGTGACTTTACCGAAAGAACCAAAGAGTAGATGGTGCAACTTCATAAATTTCATCATCAAAAGTATTTCCCACTTTTAGGATATAAGCAAATGACGGTGAGATGGGCTTGGTCATTTGATTTATGACACAGACACGTGCTGATAAATGTACTCTATGTGGATGAGTCATGATCATTCTGTACAGCTGCCAATACCATTGCTTTCCTGTCACAAAAGTAAACCATCATCTAAACGACACCATCATTTTATGGCCTAAAACATATACTATATATATTTTGATTTAAAGCTTTCCTGACTGCAGGAATTCATATTCTTGGTTCTTTCGGTAAAGTCACGTAGAAGGGCAACAATAAAATAATAAAAATATAATATACTATATAATTAGTCACATTTTTGGCAAATGGCCTTTTTTCAGTGCCCTTCTTCGTGTGAAGAGTCATTGCCTAAAATGTCCCATATTTACATTATATAATATATGTTTCCCCCGTTCGTGCAATTTTATTTAAGAATGTGTTGATTTTTTTGTTATTTGTGTTTGTCCATCACTGTGAACTTAGTGTCACAGTAAAACAAAATATATTTACCATTTCATGTGCTCGGGAGGCATTAGAAAACAGACCAACCTGGTTTTCGTAGAATGTTGCTGTCTCCTAAATTAACTATATGCAGCCAACACCCCGTGTTGACATGGAGAAAAAAAAACCTATACTGAAGGGAAAAAAAATGGGTGTGAACTGAAAACGTTGGCAAGTAGGAAATAATGCACAGTTCTGTAAAGACCTCCCCACACCGGAGCAACTTGGAAATATGTTGGGGGTCAGGTTATCCACGGGAACAAGGATTAGACACAGAAATATCCACAGAACCATGACCTGAATTTAAAAAAAAATCTGTCAAAGGGAATCTTTCTTTACCCCGAATTTGAATGTGCTATTTAAGTGTATTTCTGTAGCGCTGCCCATGTATTTTACCGCCTCTGCTGAGGAGTGATGGTAGAAAGGCCATGTTTATATTCGTGGCTGTGACACGTTACAATTTAAAAACAAATCCCTGTGAGAATTATAGCTTGTATATCTCAATGCCTGGGCTGCTTCTATCTTATTGCTAATCAATTCAGCTTTTAAGAAAGGCAATCTAACAATCGCACAGGAGCCCCATTTTATTGCGCATTTCCACCAAAGCTGCAGATTTCCCCGCTGTCATGAAAGTGCATTATGAAACGGTTGCTTCTCTTTCATCAGAGGCCAGCTCTTATTTCATACAGTGCCAGAGTCGCACGTCACCACGAATACATCATTTGACATTGCAGAGATGCATAATAATGCGTGCCAATTTGTTTAGAGTGCACTCACTTCCTTCCCATTGCGCATTCGCAGCTGAAAGAGGAAATGCAACCCAATGTCAATTACGTGTACACTCATCTCATTGTGCTGGACTCGCATGTGAACACAAGCCCGATGGAAGGGTGTCCATTTCCTGTGACAAAACCAGCGATGAGCTCACCATTGTTCACCTTTCCCTCGAGCCCGTGTCATTACAGGACATCTGCCAAAAAGAGTGTGCGTTTGACCTTCGTCTAAGAAGCCTTTTGTAAAAGTGATATCATTTTCAATTGACCTATGTTATGGTGTCACATGGGCCACGTTAGAACGTTGATGTGTTGTGTAACCAATTTATTATACATATGTACAGCCCCTTGGTCATAAGATTGCCTCTCCATGCTGTGCCAGTTCTATGGTTTATGTGATCATACTTCACCACGCTGGTCAATGCAGGTTCGCGAAGACGGAGAGTACTGGTGTTGGAGCATATAAAGTCACAACTTATGTTTCTGTTACTCTCCTCTGTTGCCCACTACGTACCCCACAGCCTAAAACACATTTTATCGATGGTGGTTGCCCATTCAAGAACTATCCAGGATCAAACCTGCTTAGCTTGAGATCTTAAAATATTCAGCACATTCTGAGTAATTTGGTTACATGACATAACCGTTGGGCCATTTACATATATTGTACGGGTAGGAACCTCCTGGTTACACCAGCCCACAGAGGATTATTGTGTCCGTCCGTCCCTCGTGCATCCAAAAATGGGAGGGGTGGGGCTGAGTGGAGAGGGGAGGGTGGGGAGGGGCTGGGTGGGGAGGGTGAGGAGGGGCTGGGTGGGGAGGGTGGGGCTGGGTGGGGAGGGTGGGGCTGGGTGGGGAAGGGAGGGTGGGGTGGGGAGGGGCTGGGTGGGGAGGGTGGGGAGGGTGTGGAGGGACTGGGTGGGGCTGGGTGGGTAGGGGCTGGTCACCCCGTGGTGCCCTTATAAAACTCAACGTTTAACCTACTCACGCCGGCTTGTGCCCGCCCTCACAGTCGGGCATATTTTCGGAATACACCACGCCGCCGTTGACCCTGGCCATTGATCGAGCAACCCAACGTTCCTACCAGCTCCCTCCGCAGGAATGTGTTTTAAATGCTATAATAGATATCGTTCATGCGACTGAAATATTGACTATTTCACCATGTGAGATCCCAATGAGATAAGTTTCCTGTGCAAGGTACAGCTGGGTCAACAATTGACAATACAGTTGGAGTGGCTGCGCAGTGGTTAGCACACTGCACTGTGAACCCAACATCCTGTAGTTGATTCCCGGCTATGGCTGATATC